TGCCAGCTGCAAACATGGAGCCAAGGGGTTCTCTGGGGCTCCAGGGCCAAAGCACATAAATGTGTAATTCAAAGAAGAAAAATGGCATGGTCTTACTTTTGATTTCCATAGAAACACGAGTACAAAAATAAGCAGTAATAAAAAATGAGTGTGAATAATACAGGTTGCAGAAGGTAGCTTGTAAATAGCTGATAAAAGTCTCTCAATCAGAAGAAAAATCTTTTTCAACTCTTTAAAAGACCTAATTATCTGGCTGATTTCTATAAGGTGAGAAATCTTGCTCAATTAATTCAAAAACTGGAAATCAACTACAGTACACCCCAAAAATATGGTTCTGAGAACCCTTTCGTTTAATTTTCAGCCCTGAGTTTTATCACAGACTATTATGACTCTTACCAAATGGCTGATTAAAATGTAAAACAGCAGAGTAAAATCTATCCTAGCAACAGTGGCAGTTGAGAGCCAGAACTGGGAAGACATTGAGTTCTTCCCAGTAGCCAAGGCCTAGAATAGAAGAGCCAATTGCAAGTGTCTGCTGGAACTCACTGTCAGCAAAGAAGGTTCTCAAGACTAGGCAGAGAGCCCCAATACTCAGAAAGCAACATCTCCCCTACCCCCAGCCCTGTTCGACAAAGAAGTTTATAGATGAGTGATGTTCTTATTTCAGTACATGGATGGCATTAGATTATTATGGAGCTGATCATTTAGAAACTAAACACAATTCATTCTGTTTTGTTCCAAAAGCAGATTCTCTTTGGGTGACTGTATTCAGATCCAGTCTGGGCTTGTTGTTTGGGCTTGGGGGAACCAATAGTAGCAGGGCTAATGCCATTAGGACACTAAAGTTGTCACTGCCACAGGGATGCACTGCCTACTAAAATATAAGATCAAACTAATGGCTCATGCAGCAGGAAGAAGTAATGAATTACTTATTGGTCACATATCTTGCATTTCTAAGCTTTACTTGTAGAACAAGTTTAGAACTTTCTCCCCAAGAAGCAGATGCCTAACCTTCCTCTTTATTTGGTGGGAAAATTAAATTAACTTGTAATTTCTTGAGCTCAGAACAAAACATGGTGATGGTGGTTGTCAGAAATATAAAAAAATAATAGATGTAATCATTTTTCAGTGATTCTTTTTTACTTGGCCTTACTAGAGTTTGAACTCAGCTTCAAGCTTGCTAAGCAGGCATTCTACCACTGGAGCCAACCCTTAGCCCCATTTAATTATTTGTGATAGAGTCTCAAGTTTTTCCCCCGGGTCAGCCTTTTACAGTGATCCTACCACCTAAGCCTCCTATGAAGCTGGTACCATAGGCACACACCATGTCCAGTTTATTTGTGGACATGAGGTCTTGCTAATTTTAATAGCTTCAACCTTTAACAGATATTCCTCTTATCTCTACTTCCCAAATAGCGGGGTTACAAGCATTTTATGAGCCAAACTAAACCAGTGAATTTTAGTTTTTGTGTGTGTGTGTGTGTGCGTGTGTGTGTGTGTGTGTGTGTGTGTGTGTGCGCGCGCGCGTGCCAGTCCTAGGGGCTAGAACTAAGGGCCTGGGTGCTGTCCCTGGCAGACTTCGAACCATGATCCTCAGGTCCCAGCCCCCTGAGTAACTAGGATTACAGGTGTGATCTAGTGGTGTCTAGCAAACCAGTGAATTTTAAACTTGATCCCCATCCTCCTAAACACACACACACATACACACACACACACAAAATCACACGATCACCTTTACATCAAAGTAGTTTTTTTTTTTTTGCCAATCCTAATAGATTTTTTTTGTTTTGTTTTGTTTTGTTTTTGGTCAGTCATGGGGCTTGAACTCTGGGCCTGGGCACTGTCCCTGAGCTCTTCAGCTCAAGGCTAGTCCTCTACCACTTGAGCCACAGAACCATTTCTGGTTTTCTGGTGGTTAGTTGGAGATACAAGTTTCATGGACTTTTCTGCCAGGGCTGTCTTTGAACCGCAATCCTCAGATCTCAGACTCAGTAGCTAGGTTCACAGGCATGAGCCACTGGCGCCCAGCTTCTAATAGATTCTTTTAATCTAACACTTTGTTCTTTCTCTAAATTCTTGTTTAAAGTTAAAAACCAATACCAAATTATCTGTCAGAAAGCTGAGAGACCTAAATAGCCAAAACAATCATGGCAACAGAAGTACAGATTTGTATTGTTCAGACGTCTGTCTTCAAAACTCACTACAAAGCTACCATATCAAAAACACTACTGGAATAAAGGCAAATATATAGACCACTGGACTAGAATAGTCCATAAATAAATTCCCATGTATATGTTCAAATAATTTTTCACAAAGGTACCAGTCATTCAATGGGGAAAGAACCATCCTTTTAACAAATGGGAAACTAGATATCCACATGTGAAAAAAATTGAAGTAAGGTTGGGAACCAGTGGTTCACATCTATCTTCCTAGCTACATGGGAGGCTAAGATTGTTGAGATCATTATCCATTCTCAACCAAATGGCTGGATATGGTGGCATATGCCCGTTATCCTAGTTACCAAGAAACCTAACATAGTTAGGTCATACCCAGGCACTTACCTGTGCATGAAAAATAACCAGCAAAAATCATTGCTGGGGGTATGGCTTTATAGGAAGATTACCTACGTAACAAGTGCAAGGACCTGAGTTCAAAATGTAGTACTGCTTTTTCAAAAAATGAAGTTAAACACTTACCTAATGCCATATACAAAAATCATCTAGAAATGGAACAAAGACTGAGACTTAAGATCTTAAATTATAAGCATATTAAGGATATTGGCTTTGGCAGTGATTTCTTGAATATGATACTAAAATCATGAACAGCAAAAAAAAAAAAAAAAGGTAAACTGGACTTTATCAAAATGCCTCAAAGGATACTATCAAATGAATGCAGAGGCAACTTTTGAAACAGGAGGAAATGTAAACAAAATGTGGAATGTGTATATGTTGGAATATTATTCAGTCTTTAAAAGACAAAATAATTCACACATGGATACAACATGGATAGACCTTAAAATACTATACTAAGTGAAATTATCTAGTTGTAAAAGAATAAATTATTGTGCTATCCCACTAATGTGGGGTTTCTAGCCTAGTCATATTTATAAGGACAGAGTAGAATTGCAGTTGCTAGAGGAGGAGAATGCAGAGTTGTAGTCTAACTTTAGGGGTGAGGAATCTTTTATCTGCCAAGGACCATCTGGGTATTTATAACTAGGCTATATGAAACTATGAATACCAGTACATGGGCTACAGGCAGCCAATGAAAAGCCTACATGTATTTCTCATCATGTATGAAATGGTTTCTTGGCTCTTATATACCCTATAGACTGAACCTTTCTGACCCTAAGTGTGTATAGAATATCAATGTTGGTTTTAGAAGACAAAAACATCTGGAGGTCAGCAGTGGTTAGTTATACTTAATGTGCATATGCTTAGTGCAACAGAACTGTGTGCTTAAAAATGTCAAAACTGGGATATTTTATTATATTTTTCCCACAATAGAAGAATAGAAAATAAGTAAACAGAAACAATGAGTGAATGCATTATTAGGAAGAAGTTAAAAGTTCAATAATAGAGGAATAGGAATGATTAAATTATGATTACCCACTTGATGAGATATGTATGTAGCCAAAAGGACTTATTCATGGTGGCTACATGGAAAATGCCTGTGATATAGTGTTTAATGTATGTAGAGTTTCAGAAAAAATAAAAGGACTGAAAGGAAATATCGATCTGCTTAAAAAAGTTACATTAGGGGGCTGGGAGGGTGGCTCAGAGGTAGAGTGCTTGCGTCACATGCATGAGGCCTTGGGTTTGATTCCTTGGCACCACATAAACAGAAAAGGCTGGAAGTGGCACTGTGGCTCAAGTGGTAGAGCACTAGCCTTGAGCTGAAGAGCTCAAGGACAGTGCCCAGGCCTAGAGTTCAAGCCCCACAACCAACCAAAAAAAAAAAAGTTACAGTAGGATGGTGAGGTTATTTGCTTTATTTTCATCTACTTCATCTTTAATGGAAAATTAGTTTATAATCAAAAATTTAAAAGTGACAGAAAACATTTTAATATTAATATAAAACATTTTAATATTTATCATTACCATCCTTTTTAGTAATTATCTTTTTCTAGTAATTATCTATAAAATACAAATAGTTGGATATTTTAAGGCTTTTGCAAAGTAGTATACATATCAAAGAAGAAAGTCATTAAGATTCCTGGAAAATCTCAGTTTCCTTCTCTGCTTCAAAAGTCATTCAGGATGCAGGTCACTGAGCAGAGGACAGGAATACGAACACATCTGAAGGAAGAAACTTTTCAGAGTATGTCATGAGTTTGTCAACAGGCAAAGACAACTTCCTAGAGGCAAAACTGCAGGCTTTGACAGATGCCTATCTAGGCTAAAGCAGATATAGCTTGCCAAATGGGGCAGCCTATAAAAGTGAGTTCTAGAATGAGGGCAATAATTCTAAATGGGTTATTCTCATCCATTTATCATCTCTCCAAGTTCATTTCGTCGTCTCCCACAAACTCCACATGGGCCCTCTCCCAGTGAATGAAAATACATCAGAATGAACACCCCTGGGGTTCAGATGATGATGTCTTTAGAAGGACAGGCAGAGGTGGGAAGAGTGGGTGGCAGTGTTATACAACTCTGTAGCCACTTATTGGAAAGCTGTAGCATCTTTACCCATGAATCAGAGCAGCTCACAGGAGAGTCATCTTCCCAGAAGAGTGGCACAGGGATCCTATAGAGGGATCACAGGATCCCAACCTCTGTGCTCCTTTCTGTTGGGTCTTGTTGTTATTAGGTTCCAGAAGACTCCTCCAGTCTGTCTTCTAGATTCACGGTTCATGTGGACCTTGCCACAAACTATTCAAATAAATTCAGTTCCATTTCCATAATGCTCTTAAAATCTGGTTTGAAAAAACATTCTCAAGATACAGTTTGTTTCTCTTCTACTCAACCATTGTGGACCATTCTGTTTCTCATTAATGCTAGGTGGTTCGAGATCAGATCTCTCACTGCACAGTGAAATTACGCCAGACCACAGGTCTCATGGAATATTGCTTGGAGGTGATTAAGGAAAATGACCCCAGTGGCTTTTTGCAGGTAAGTAGTTTTGGCCTCAGATTCCAGGTGGCCTATGGGACTGAGTGTAGGACACATAAATGGGACATCCAACAGTGCTGGCAAAGCATAGGTACCTCAATAAAAGGACTTGATTTCATGCTGCACTGGGTATGTGGGTACCTGCAAAGCAAACTCCACTGACTTCCAAGGAGTGCTGATAAGGTTGAGAAATGGAGATGATTGTTCTTGTGTTTAATCATGAAACATAATCCCCTTTAAGTTCTTCCTGTGTAGAGTATTGCTTTGCCTAAGAACTGGCACCCATTATATCTCCATTACCATCTCTTGGACAGCTTTTCAGCCAACAACATTTGAATGTGCAAGGTTTCAAACTCCTTGTCACTTCCTACTGGCCAGTAAGTCAGTGATTTCTAAAATGTAGGGAAGGCTTTTTTGTTTTGCATTCTCACTTTTTTCAGTGTTAACTGTTTTAACTAAATGCTAAGATGATGTATGCTAGATTTCACTTAAGTTTGAAACCAATGATATGGAACCTTTTTGTTAAGGGACTTGTAGATTCTTATAGCTCACACTCTACTAAACTAGTCAATAATGAGAGTGCCACTGAATGCATGCAATGAAAGGCTCCTCCAAAGAATAAAAGTCATAACTACAAAAAGATGGTGTGTTAAAATGTAAGAAATTCCATATGCAAACCACTTGAAGCTAATTTGTTAAACTCATTTTCAAGTCTTAGAAGGCTACCCATAGCTCAAAATGGAAGCCTCAATCTGTATCTTGTAATAGGATTAATCACTAGCATGACATTATTCTTTACAGTTGTTGGATTTTAGGGGGAAAGTCATAAATCTCATGATCATATATCCACATTTGTCTATAAGATCAACGAATACTTCCTAATTATAGTATCCTATCTCTCACTCACCTAAGTATTTAGATAAATTGTGTATCATTCTAGTCAGCTAGGATCCTCTTCATCAATAGCTATGAGACAGGAGGTTGTAAATCCCAAGGAAGTGGTCGTTGCATTCCCAGAGAGACAGTCAAGGAACAATCTTGTGGTCCCAGGGTGGTTCTGCATTTCTTAGGCTGTGGTCTTTGATGTGTATAGATTTCTGATGCCCTCATAAGAAGAGTGCACCTGACTGAGGATCAGTGGGGGAAAGGCACACTCACCCCCAGGATGACCACCGACTTTGACTTGAGTCTGGACAACAGCCCTTTGCTACAGTCTATTCACCAGCTGGACTTTGTACAGGTGAAAGGTATGTGCTTGCATTGCCTAGTCAGAGAGCATCATCCCTCATAGATGGTGGTGCTTGAAGCAGGGTCAGTTACCCCTGTGATGAATGTTACAGAAATCTGAAGTGACTCCTATCTCATCAGGTAATGAAACTGTCTCCTTGTGGCTGTGTCATCTACCTCTGAGCATATCAGATAAATTCAGATAAAACTCTACGTTTGATTCTGAGAATCTTAGCTTCCACATACTCAGCAACAGAGAACAGCTGACATGAAAAGAGGCAAGGATAAAAAGAACATCACTGCACGTAAAGAAAGCCTTTATGTATAACAAGGGACTGGCGAAGATGAAAGAGATGGTTGAGAATGATGGAAGGGGTGACCTTGATCAAGATGCATTGTACTCATTAATTGACATGTTGAACTGAAACCACTTTGTACAACTACCTAAAGATTAAATAAATAAATACATAGTTGTTTTAAAAAGGAAAAGAAAGAAAACCTTATTGCACATAGTAACCAGAAACAGTGATATAAATGAGGGAGTCCAGAGTTAACTATCTTCATGTAAGATAAAGATAGTAACATTTGGGCTTGGATCTATGAGAATTTGAGAGAATCACATCTGGCCTCTGATCTGGCAGGAAGTACAAGCCTGGAAGGAAAAAGAAACTATGAGATAAATTTTAAAAGTAGTTTATATAACTGAGGAATACAACAAAGTCTCTTTGAGATTCTGAGGGATGAAGACTAAAGGGAAGTACAAGTACTTAATTTAGTTTAAGAAAATAACTCATTCAAAGAAAAATGAAAATTCAGACCAACTGTGCAACAATACTTTATGATAGTATTGTTAATGTCCATTGGAAGAATATTTTTTTTTCTGATCCTTGATTTCAAAACATGGATCCACAGGAAGTTACAAAAATAGCAAGGAAAAGTCCTCCTGCTCTTTCAGAACTATAATATGCCAAAACCAAGAAGCTGACATTTGTACAGTCTATGTGAAGTCCTGTGCTATTTTATAACATGTAGATTCATAAAACCACCACAACAATGAGCACAAACAACTATGGGAGAGCTGAGCAATGCCATAATCCCAGCAATTAGGAGACTGGAGCGGGGTTGTGAATTTAAGGCCAGCCTTGGCCGGCTTAGGACAAACAAAAGAACAACCAGCAAATGTATTCCATTTATTTTTCCCCTCCACGAACCCCACTCCATCTCTACCATTGAATCATCTTATTTTTAAAACTAAAGAAAATGACTCAGAATTCAGAGCATTAAAATTTTTTGTTTCTAGCTGGGCACCAGTGGCCTACACCTGTAATCCTAGCTCTGCAGGAAGCTGAGATCTAAGGATCACAGTTCAAAGCCAGCCCAGGCAGAAAAGTCCCCATGAGACTCTTATGTCCAGTTAACCACTCAAAAACTGGAGGTGGGGTTGTGGCTCAAAGTGGAAGGGCTAGCCTTGGGCAGAAAAGCTCAGTGACACTGCCCACCCAGGCCCACCCAGCTCCACAACTTCCCAACTTCCCCCCAAAATAGGAAGCAGAGCTTTTCCCAAAGAAACAACATTTTTTAGGTTTGAGACCACAACACAAACTTGGCCACTTTGTGCATTGGCAAGGCCACACCTTCAACGTCAGAAACAAAATTTTTTCCAGTTATGGGGCTTGAACTCAGGGTCTGGGCCCTGTCCCTGAGGTCTTTTGCTCAAGGCTAAGCCCTACCACTTTGAGGCACAGCTCCACTTCCAATTTTTTGAGTGGCTAATTGGAGATAAGAGACTCACAGGTACTTTTCTGCCCTGGCTGGCTTTGAACCCTGATCCTCAGATCTCAGCCTCCTGAGTAGCTAGGATTAGGGGTATGAGCCTCTGGCACACAGCAGTGCTCTCTCTCAGACATGGAGAACCTGGTCACCTAACAAATTTTAGGGCTATCTATTAGATCTAATGTTCCATAGTCAAATTCATCCTGCTAGTTGTCATATGTACTTCTTTCATCATTTTAATGTATGTTTGCTCTCATTTATTTTCAATTTTCTCATCTTTTGTTTAACAAGTATTGCTTTGGGAAGATGTCTTAACCAATTTTTGAAGTAGTTGATACATGATAAATTAAAATGCTTTTATTTTGCAATAGTAACAAAAAAATGTTGAGCATTTATTGAGTGCTAACTGAGCCAGATCCCCCTCTTCACCAAGTGCAGAGAAGTTTTACGTATGGTTCCTCATTTTATTCCACAGCACTAGTAGTCAGCTTAAGACACTGAGACACAAGAACCCTGAACTGCCTGCCTGAGGCTCACACAGCTAGTGAGTGGCAAGGCCTGGATTCACACCCAGGAAATAATTCAAGAACACACTCATACAGCTTCTAATTTATTCTGTGAAACTAGGGCCATCCTATGTAGCTCTTCCTGGGAATTCCTTCTATACACTTAATAAAAATAATTCCTTTTGTATACTTAATGTGCATCTCTTAATGGAAATTCCTTTTGCATCCTTAACTCCTTTAGTACACTTAATACTGTTTAAAATTTTTTTCCTTCACACCTATACACTAACCTAATATTTAAATCCATCCCTCATAGAATTTAGAGTCCCAGGAAATCCTTCTTTTAGTCTCCAAGTTTTGCAATGAAATATAATCAAGTTACAAGTAACTTGGAGGAAGAAATGTGTCACAAAAAGAAAAAAGACTAGATAGAAAAGAGAAAAATGAGCTAACCTAATTAGGCCTGGTAAGGAAGCAGAAGAGGGCAGTCGGAGGGCAGGGGCCTCAGGGCTTTGAAATGCTTTGATCAGCTGACTGAGCTCCCCATCTGCTACATTAATTGCCCTTCAGAGTTCTGTCCATTTAAGCATGGTGAAGTCCAGGCCAGTTGGCAGGATGGCACCAGTTATATTTGAAAGAGCAGGCTATTCAACTGATATAAGGACCGCTGGTCCATGTGCCCGCTGGCACCACACACCACATTTCTAAAGCACTATTGTTGGGCCACTTGACACAGAAGGTAAGAGTGAACACAGCTATGTCTTCAGGCTGTTGAAGTCTATACATATAGCAAAGAATGCCAAATACTCTAAAGATCAAAATGCAGAACATTTTCACAGCAACAACTCAACCTGGAACACAGAATATCTAGAACAAGTATTTATGAAATACATAAAACAGACCATTTGGTATGAGAATAGATTCATCTAATTTCAGTTTAACACTTCATCTTAATGTAATTTACTTCTGCTTATTATCACTCTTCATTGTTAATTTATGTGTTTTGCTTTGGGCTCATTAAGTTTAATTAATTCAGTGAGAGTCCAGTCCTCCTTGGACTCAGCATAATTTTTACCTGTCCTGCTTGTGATGGAAAGAAAAAGCCAAAGGTCATGGTACAATAGAGCTTGATTGGCTGTAGTTTGAAATTTCCTACTGGCCTCTATAATATCTATTAACACATATACAGTTGTCCTAGTACAGTCTGACTTTTCTCATTCTTAGTTTAATGAACTGCACTTTCCCAATATGTCAGTAAAAAATATCCCAATGAGCTGCACCCTAAATCTGTATAAATGGCCAAAATTAAGTAGCATTTGGAATGCTGCTAACTGAAATCTGGCCACTTGAATGTAACTATAAAGGTAATTTTATATGTTTTCTAATTGTACAAAGTGAATTAGAGTATAAAGTTAAAATATTTTCAAAATTGCTTAACAGATACATTTAAAGTTGTGTTCCAATTACCTTTAAAGTATGTTTACTGGTTTACTCAAAAACTATCAAGCATCTGTTTTTTAAATTTCAAAAGCTTTTTTTTATTCTTGTTGTTTTCATTGTTGACATTAAAAAAGACAGGTCTGCTGTTGGTTTCTACATATTTCTGTTTAGGTTAGCTGCTCTTTTTTCAAGAGCCTAAAGTCATTCTCCTACTAACTAAGGGTTTAACTGGTCTGTTCTTTCTGATCTCTATCACCCCCAACAAGTGAGAGCTATCTGGAGAATATTGGTACTTTCTTTATTCTAATAACCCTAAACTTTAATGGTATGTTTTCTGGCTATATCTTGACTAGGAAATCTTTACATAGCTGGATACCGATGGCTCACACCTATAATCCTAGCTACTCAGGAGGCTGAGACCTAAGGATTATGGTTTGAAGCCATCCTGACAGGAAAGTCTATGATACTCTTATGTCTAGTTAAGCAATGGAAGTGAAACTTTGCCTCGAGTGGTAGAGTACTAATGAGCATAAAATTATGCTCAGGGACAGCACCCAGGCCTCAAACCCCAGAAGAGAGAGAGAGAGAGAGAGAACTACTCTTAACCTTTTTTAAAAAAATAGAAAACAACATATGAAATTGTCTTCTGGTTTTGTTACAAAGTAATTTAAAAATTTCCCCTTAATTCTAAGTTGATATTGTCAACTCTTCCCTCCAGCTTGAGGAGGAAATTTTAAGTCTTTTCCTAGTCTACCAAGAAGAATTCAGATATCTATATCCTCCCAGAAGAATATTACCCTAGGATTGTGTATAAGTAAGTTCACAGAATATTCCAAATATGAGTTGTAATGCTAATATCTAGTGTCAGCATGTTCATGCTGAACCAGGGCAACACAACCTAAAACTTCACCAACCCTTTTTAGCACTGGACCAAATGGCTATTAATTCCTTTAAGTGCCTCTATTCTTGTATACCCACCCCTAAGGGCAAATTTATCTTCATTAACTCATCTTGAATACAAGAGCATTTTGTACCAAGGTCATAAACTAGGACAGTTTGACCTGAAAAGATATTCTTATAAATATTAGCAAAGGAGCTGCGAGATATGGGTGAACATGCATGCACACATAATCTGTTCATGTAAGGAAGTTGTCTTCAGAACATAGGTTGATGTTCATCATTCACGGTGGGCCAGTGATGGCCTTCCAGGAATGGCCTGAAGTAAATCTAAATGCCATTCCTATTGTCCAGCCCAAATAGAGACTGATGACAGTCTACAGAGGAGCTTTCAGAGAGGGTGCAGTAAAAATCATCCAGTAAACAACATGCAGATGCATACACTATAGCTCTGAAGATGAACTATTTCACTAATATCACTCACTTGTTTTTCACATTATAGGAAACAGGAAGAAGCTTCCAGAATGAGGCCTGGAGGCTTGCCTTCAGCACATTATTGTCAGGCACCACACTGGAGAAGAGCCTTAATGCAGTGGCAAGCACAGAGACCAGGTCCCAACCCTGCTGCTATAGAGTGTGTCATGTACCCTATTTTATCTTACTAAGTATAAAAGAAATGATCTACAAGAAATCCAAAGTAATTTCAAATTAATCTGTCATCTGCTATGCATTGGAAGTGGCTAGCACTACAGTTCCTGGCTGATGTCTATGACTGAGCTTTAGATATTATTGATACTCCTGTCACTAGGCAATGTTTACCTTGATTTTTTTTTATAACCTAGATTTTTCATTCCCAGGCATCTTTGTTTTCTACTTGTTTCTTTTTTTTTTTTCTGTCAGTACTTTCAAATGTCCAGACGTGAAGCTTCTTTGGATTTCCATTTCCTCAACTACAAACCAGAGATAGAGAAAGTACTTACTATGTGGGGTTGTTGTGAAAATTCAGTGTCTTAAACATGTAAGCTTCCTACCCTGCAGAGTGGTTCTCGGCCAAGGGCTCACAAAGCGTGGCTTAGGATTGACGCTCCATGCAAAGATCTGGAGGCATGCTTCTCCTTTCCCTGACCTCCCATACTAGTGTTCATTCACAGAGGAATTCTGAAGGGCTGCAGCTGTTCTCAACCTGGAGCATTAGAAAGGAAAATGTGAACTGTAAATTGACATGCAACAACCTTCTAACATTAAAACATTTGAAAATATTGGCAGCTACACCAACCTGTTCACGAAGGCCAGTGAACATGGCTGCCATCCCAGAAAATCTTCAGCTTGAAGTTTTTACAAGATAAAAAAAAATGCTAATATTAAATTTTGGAGAAGCTGGATGTTAGGGAAAAAAGAAAGGTGACAGGGACTGAGCATTGAAAGATCAAGCTGTGGTTGGCTAGTGACGGATGCTTCAATAAAATGTAACACTTGGGGCTAGGAATGTGGCTTAGTGGTAGAGTGCTTGCCTAGCATGCACGAAGCCCTAGGTGCCATTCCTCAGAACCACATACACAGAAAAAGCCAGAAGTGGCACTGTGGCTCAAGTGGTAGAGTGCTAGCCTTGAGCCAAAGAAGCTCAGGGACAAGCTTAGGCCCTGAGTTTAAGCCCCAGGACTGGGGGGAAAAAATCAAATTTTCAGTCTTAGATATCAGCCCAGGAACTGTGGGGCCAGCCACTTCCAAGGCATAATAACACTGGTTAACTTGATACTTCTTTGGATGTTTTGTAAGTCATTGATTTTTATACCTAATAAAATAAGGAAATAACTCTTACTATAAAGTTGATTTTTCACATGTCAATCTTACCCTTTGCTAATGAGACTGTGGTTTTGTCACATTTCTCTTTTATATATAACATCATTTTGGGATTAAAAAAAGAAAAGATAAATAGGGGAAAAAAAACAATTCTTGGCACATGAAAAAATAGATTTAGAAACATACAAACATTCTGAGTAACTTCTCTCCTCCTGTCCTCTCCTGCTTTTTGGTTTATTTTCTTATTTGTTTAAATCTGAGACAATATTAAGTCTGAAAATTAAGTGAGAGGTTATATTTTTTTTCTTGATCTCTTTATTTTTATTTAATTTTTTTTGGGGGGGGGGGAGGGTCCAGTTGTGGAGCCTGAACTCTGGGCCTGGGCGCCGTCCCTCAGCTCTTCAGCTCAGGCTAGCGCTCTGCCACTTGAGCCACGGCACCACTTCCGGCTTTTTTTTTTCCTTTTTGCTTATGTGGTGCTGAGGAATTGAACCCAGGGCCTCATGCATGCAAGGCAAGCGCTCTACCACTGAGCCACCTTCCCAGCCCTCTTTATTCTTTTAAAGTACATCCACTGAGGACTTCAGATAAGTGAAGTTCCAATATTATTAATTACCTGTGACATTATGTGTTTCAATTAATCTTTTAATTATACCAACATCTGACAGGGAACTTTGAGTTTCTTACCAAAGACATTGCAAGCATTTATATGACTCAAGTGAAATCATCTTGTGATCTTATTTTTTGATCTTATAATTAATGAAATGTAAATTTGCTTGAAACAAGAATGAAGGGGAAAGGAAAAACTAATATGGACTAATAAGACGGTCTCAAGGAAGTGTTTGTAAGGTAGGCTCTAACTAATAAGAACAGTTCAAAACAAATTCACCAGGGAGGATTGTTCATGTCTTTGCAAGCCTTTCAAGGAATGATTTGCTTAGACTTTGTCATGTTTTATTTCCACAGCAAATATGACCAAATGTGTTCTCTTGTAAAGGAAACTTTCAACAACTTAGTGTTAGCCCTACAGTTACAACTCCTGTTTGATCCTGTTTCTGTGGGTGTTCATTAGAATCATCAGAAGAGCTTCTGGGTCAAACCAAGTCTAGTGGCAGAAGGTCCTTGATCTTAATCAGAAAAAGAGTTCAAGGACAGAGGAATTTCAGCCGGAACAAGCTTATGAAGGCAAAACAAAGTGAAAGGACACTCTCTAGACAGAGGTAGTCGGAAGGCTCAAAAATGAGTAACTGCCTTAAGGGTTCCAAGGTCTCAAGGTTTGATTGAGATCTATGAGGAAGGCCATTCCTGGACACTGGGTTAACTCCTACAGATTGGCTCATGTATCAATTCTTCTCACACATCTGACAGGGGAGTTTTTGGCCTTAGATGGTCAGATTGGGACTTTTTATTTACCAAAGGATGACAGAGGATATGGATCAGCAAGACTCTGTTGTATGTCATGAGTCATTCTGTTCAGTTAATATCAGCTGGCCAGGATATGATTTTTATCAACCTCCATCATTCCCAGCCATCAGATGTCCTAGCTCCTTGCCTAACGTCTATGTCAGAAGAGTATGTGTTATGTTTCTCCCTCTTTCTGTCTAGTCCTAGAGTTTATTTTAGTGAACAAGACAATGCATTTAATATCCTTTTCCTCCAAACCCAATGTTCTGGGACCTGGAGGTTGCAGAAACCACAGGCCTCTATGAAGATTTCATCCAAACCCTGTGCCATTGAAAGACAGCTTCCCTCATTAAACTGTCTACTTCCAATGACCTTAACACTAAAGCTGACTTACTTATGCTTGATTTTAAAAGTGAAATATGGTTTTATTATAATGTATTACACTCTTTTCTTAAGTATAATATGAATGACTTGCTCTTTGTCCATTATCTCCTGTGTTGTGGTCATTGCTTTTGTTTTCTAGGTTACATACCATAAACCTTGTTTGCTGAACTGCTGTTAAATCAAATATCTTCTTGGTTGGGGTTGCTGACAAGAGCAGATTTAGCTCAATGCACGGCTGACACATAGAGTCTAATTCTGGGACAATATACCAGGTGTTCCATGATTAACATTTGTTCATCTCACTGCCCCTGAATATGATCCAAGCTGTTCTCTCTTGTTACTAAAATGCTATAAAAAAAAAAAAGAAATCCATGTTTTGGTACTAGAAAATACATAATTTAACAGTTAATAGAAACACTGTGCTCAGCTACATATACTGAGTGCATACGTGAAGAACAGGGATTATTTCTCAACCAACATCTCTATGTCTGGGTATATGAGGTTCAGTGACTTGGCAGTTGAAATATTTTTTTAAAAGCTCAGCATAAAATGTGGAGGTTGGGGATTGTAACTAGTAAAACCATGACAGATTCCCACCTGGCTGTGAAAACCTGTGGATCTGCCTGTTCTATCTTGTTCTATCCTGTACTAATGTTTAGGCTCAAAGTCAGGTGTTCTATATCCAAAACAAACAAGTGGTCTTCACCTTGTGCTGTTTCCCAACTATAAAATCAGGTTCCTCAGAAATTTCGAGGTGGGGAGATGGCTGCTTAAGTCACTTGGCTCCAGATTTCAAAACCTCACTATCGTTATTGTGGAGTGGTTTCAGAGGTCTTCTCAGAATAGGTAGTCTGCAGTTTATAAACTGAGATTTCAAAGCCAGGCACTTGTGGCTCATGCCTGTAATCCTAGCTACTCAGGAGGCTGAGATTTGAGGATCACGGTTTAAAGCCAGCCCGAGCAGGAAAGTCTCTGAGACTTATCTCCAATTAACCACCAGAAAACCAGAGTGGTGCTGTGGCTCAAGTGGTAGAGTGCTTGCCTTGAGCTGAAGTGCTGAGGGACAGCACCCAGTCCCAGAGTTCAAGCCCCACAACTGACCAAAAAAAAAAAAAAAAAAACTCTGAGATTTCAGCTTTTGAAATTTGTGGTAGATTCATTCGCACCAGTTTACCATGTTATGAAGTAAATAGGCTTTAATGAGCTGGGCTGGAAATCTAGTCCCCATGTAACATCTTTCCTTGAGGGGTGATGTCTTCCATGCACATGGGGAAAGGTATAAAATCAGAGTTCTGTGGATATTCCTATACTTATAGCCACAAAATTAAGGTGGCAAGTGGCACTGTGAGCTTAGGACAAGACCTCACAATACTTCAGGAACTCACCCTATCCCTGGAAACTCAGGGAAGACCATTCTACCTACCCTGAGATTGGCTCCTTCTAACCATTGTTTATCAGGGGTGTTTATTATTTCAAGATACTGAAATGTTTGCAACTTGACAGAAGTCAGAATAACTATAATTTCTGTTTAGCTTCCTCTCCAGTTCCAGCAACCCCCATCCTACAGCTGGAGGAGTGTTGTACCCACAACAACAGCGCCACACTGTCCTGGAAACAGCCCCCCCTGTCTACAGTGCCAGCTGATGGATACATTCTAGAGTTGGATGATGGCAGTGGTGGTCAGTTCCGGGTAAGTAAACTATCTGCTACTTGTTAATCTACCATGAAGTCTCAGGCCTTGCTTCATCATCTTTCTTGAGCCACCCTGGCAAGTCTGCCTGCCCTAAAACTGAGGCCTGCCTTCTTATTTCATTAATGATGAAAGAGTCTCTAAAACAGCCAAAACTTCCAGAGAAATAGTTTAGCTCTGTGGCCTGGCCCGTTCTCACCTCTTTTAACCTCAGATCCTCATTTGCAGAAAGCGGAAGACCTATAACATGTATGTCACATCTGGTTGCTAAAAGTCCATTAGGTAATCCATATAAAACTTTTAACATGCTACCTAGTAAACAACAACCTGCCTGTAGTAGTTATTATTATTATTAACATTTTTATTTATTGCTAGTAATACCATAAATCATTGTTTTGGGTTGTATTCCTTGTACTTGGCATGCTCTCCTATTATAGCCCTTCGGTTTTAAAACTTTTGTTGCAGAGTGCTGTTACTTTCTGGCCCTCTAACCAAACAGAGCTAGTGTTAGCAGATCATTACCTCCTCAAAGAAACAGAGTCCTCATCCCAGGATATCCCTTTTGAAAATAAGACAAGCATCTTTTTGGTGAGACATGGCCATGCTGCCTGCAGGTTGATGATCTGTGTGTGACTACATGTCTGCATCTGGTCCATGCACATACCACCTCATTCTCACCTGTTATTTCCTCCCGCCTTGATTTGAACCTGCTCTATCTCAGTCTTGTCTGAGTCTTCTTCCCTGGGAGAGTCCTTGCTTGTGACCCCCAAACATATTAGCCTTTCTGAGTTCTGAGACCAGTCTCTGCACTGATGAAAAGGAATTCATACTGCCCCTCCATACCCTAAGCCCCAAGGATAAGGATTTTTTTCTGGCCATCCATGGTCAAACTTGGGCCACTAGCTTGCAAGATCAAAGCCTGTCAAGCACTAGGTTTAAACACTTTGAAGCAGGATCTATGTCTTCCTCAACTGTCCTCAAGAGCAAAGGCTCACCTGTTTAGTAGGGAATCCTTTTCTTACATACGCATTCACTGATAGGCAAGGAAAAATCAAATTTTCTGCTTTTCCAAATTAAGGGTCTTAGGTTTCATTTCAATTTATATCTTTGGTATTGTGTTTTTCTCCCTCTCCCATTCCTTCTACCTTCCCACTTCTCTCTCTCTCTGTAATAATCTGTCTATTCATGAAATCATCCTGGGAATAGTCTCCATCTCTTATAGTCCTGAGGCCGTATGTTCCTCCTGCCTCCTCACCAACCCAGATGCAGACACCTCCCAAGTCCATTTTTTCCACACATGTTTCTCATCAGAGGCTCAGGCCCCGATTTCCACCTGTATAGAATTTTCCATTTCTGTACTCTGAAACTCGCTTTAAAATAAACCTATAATTTTCTTTGACAACTTAGCTTTGTTTTTTTTTTTTTGGGGGGGGGGGGTCTGGTCGTGGGCCCTGAACTCTGGGCCTGGGCACTGTCCCTCAGCTCTTCAGCTCAAGGCTAGGGCTCTGCCACTTGAGCCACAGTGCTACTTCCAGCTTTTTTCTTTTCTTTTTTTTTTTTTTTTTTTTTTTGCTTATGTGGTGCTGAGGAATCGAACCCAGGGCCTCATGCATATAAGGCAAGCGTTCTACCACTGAGCCACCTTCCCAGCTCCCTTAGCTTTGTTTTCCCTACATTCCAGTGTTCTTTCTTAGATATTAGTATCTTAGTATCACGTGGCTCCTCCTCCTTCCTTTCCCCCCTCCTCCTTATTTTTTTAAGCCCAATAACATTAATAAGCCATTGAGTTCCCTGATCCCCTGCTATCAAGTCCTGGTGCTCATATCCAGTCACTTCCTCTTACTTACAGAACTGCCATAAGATGTGACCTTTAATGGGGATATGACTTTAAGACCCCAGGAAGAGGCTTCAGGTTATATCTTGCCTTATTACTAAAATGCAGTCATTGTTTCCACTTCTTCTTATAACATTAAAAATGCAGAATTTCAGAGCCTATCCCAAAGACCTACCAGATCAAAACTGCATTTTAATGAGATTCACAGGTGACTCATAAAATTTGAGAAGCACTCAGTGAGGGACGTAACATTTCAGATTGTTGTAACTGCTGGAGTACTAATGAATTGATGGACAGTCCAAGAGCCCAGTCTTCTTAGTAGCATACCAGAGAGTTGTCATTTTAAGGCTGTGATTTGAATGTAAAATATATTCACTTATTACATCAGCATAATTTTGCACCCTGTACAGCTGGAGCAGGAAGCAAAAGCCTAACCTGTGCTAAAGATACATTATGCTAGGGTTTATTATTAAGCCTCTGAAATGCCAAGCTTCCTCCTCTCTGTACTGTGATGAAAACCTATACCCTTATGGCTTTTGAGTCTTTGTGAAAACTGTTTCTGAAGCCACCAGTATATAAACACAGCATAGAGCTCACCTCATGTGCTCATGTTTCAAACATGGCTTTTGCAAATCACACTGATGAGTGGAAAACTCAGCAGAAACATACTATAGAAATACTATAGAAATACCAAATTAATATGAATAAGCATGGCCCTAGCATAAATATCCAAATTGTTTTGAGAGCTTTCTGTTGTTGTTGTTTTGTTGTTTTTCACTTTTTGAGGCAAGATATTGTTATGTAGCCCAGACTGGCCTCAAACTCTAGTCTCTTCTGCAAATGTTGGGATTACTGGCATACATCACCACTCCCATCTCTAAGTTAATTTTATAATTCCTCACTGCTAACAATTATCATTCATTAAACTGCCTAGCCCTTGTGAAATGAAGGGTTCTGTGCCGATCAGTCTGCACCTATTCCCTTATATACTCCTATACCAATGCCCAACGAGGTGGGCATTCCTGTCTATTTTACGGTTGGATAACCGAGGCTTTAATAAGACAAGGTTAAAAGCCCAGAATTTCACAAGATTCAAATCCAGATCAGGTTGATGATGCAAAGCTCCAGTTCCTAACCAGTCAACATCCCTGCCTTTCCTCACTCATCACAAGTGTTCATATTAAATGGCATCCTGTTGTTTGTTGACCCCCAGGAAGTATATGTCGGAAAAGAAACAATGTGTACGGTGGATGGTCTTCATTTCAACAGCACATACAATGCTCGAGTCAAGGCCTTCAACAAAACAGGAGTCAGCCCATACAGCAAGACCCTGGTCCTGCAGACGTCTGAGGGTAAGGCCCTTCAGCAGTATCCCTCAGAGCGAGAACTGCGTGGCATCTAACGTGGCTGGCAGCTCGGAGGTAACCCCACCACTGCCCACATTCCTCAAGCGTTTCCATGACTTGCTCTGCACTCGGCCACCGAGCCGCTGTTCCTCTCCTGCCTTTAGAGAGCTCATGGGATGTGGATGTGAGCAAACCAAAGATTCCACATCGACAGTTCCAATGGCTTGGGCCGTCGGCTTCCTTTGATAACACTAAATAAGCTCCAGTTGAAGAAGTTGAAACTGAAGGCCTGAATGAGGCCCTGGTTATAAGACGGATGTATCTAGGCTCTAGAGCAGGCTCCCATTCTCCACCAATCCACATCACTTGCCAGTTTTGCCCAGATGATTCTCAATTTCTTTGTAGTGCTTGCTTGTTTCTGTGGGGTGGGGGACATAGGTTCTTTCCAGCTGTGTATTTGTATGACTGAATGTGTTTCCAGTGGGCATGGGGTGCTAGAGCCATTTCATAGAGGGCCTTGCTGGCCACTCTTGGCTTAACCAGCATGGACTGATACCACTTCCTACCCAAAGCCCAGGCCTTCGGCACTAGGACTGAGACTTCCTGTGGGCATCAAACAGGAAAAGACAAGCAACTCCACAATACCTCGCCATTTACATCTTTGCCAGTCCCTCCAGTAGTGGTTAGGTTGCCTAAGGCCACTGCACAAGGTTAATCTCTAGAGGACATTTGCTCCTTGGCTATCTGTAAATATTTTTGTCATCAAAGAAAAATAATCCCCTCAGGGGAGAGGCCTGAATTTGATGGCCAAGTATAACCTCTGAGGCGTCTAACATTTTCATCTTAAGAGCAATTACAACACATGCTATTAATAATATTAAACCTATCTAGAGGTATTTGTGACTGGTGCCAAACCATTTTGAGACTCTGGGGTATCACTCTAATCATAAAAATCACCTCCCACCCCATTGCCATTCTCTGGAACTTACCTCTGCACAACTAAGTATGTTGATTTGGTGGGTTTTTTGTTTTGTTTTGTTTTGTTTTTCAAGATGTTAGCTAGAAGAATTGTGGTGGGGTTTCCCACTTTCTACAAACTTCGGCATGTGTCAGTCACCCCTAAAATGGTCCACATGGTTAAAAACAAGCACAACTTTGAATTCTACAGCAAGGGGGCAGGCTCTGACCTGTGAAGAACAGTGCTTTGGGAGTTGTAAGTCTGAATGATACTGTTCAAAGAGAAGTATTTGTTGAAGGGAAAATGCCCATTTGATGTATTCTTATTTAGACTGCAGTAGCATGGTAGCTAGAATTTATCCTCTAATTATCATTTTAGCAACTTCTCCCCCTGGTGACCTATCAGTTTGAGAGCAGTTGCTTCTTTTCCCAAAATACCATGCTAAAAGGCAAGAACTGTCCCAAGGTTTTGTTTGTTTGTTTGTTTTTCTCCCCAGAACCAATGCAGAAGTCACGATGGCAATGGCCTCATTTTCCACTTGTGCACAAGGTGGTCAGATTGAAAAGTTCAGTGCATGCCAGCAGAGATACCGTGCAACAGTGTTGCTAATATATGTCATCAGACCTATAGGAAAACCATCTCTATTCATAATATATTAGAGAAATCATAACTATTTCACTAAAGTCAGTTATTAGCATAGCATTCTGAGTGCTTCTGTCGCTCCTTTCGTCCTATAGGAAGATGTAATTTCTTAAGTTTCTTTCCATGTTCATAAGATTATGGTGTCTAACAACAAATTACAGGATTTGAAACTGCGATCCTTGGTATCACAGTCACAGAATTGGGGGGTCATTTTCCAAATGAAACTAATGGAACAAGTTCTCTATCAACAAAGAAACTGTACTGTAGACGTTCAATTCCTCCATGGATTTTATATGTTGTGTACAAATATAAGGTATGTATCGGAATACAAAACAAACACTTATCATCATGTAGATACCAGTATTCTCTGTTACTGCACAGAAGTGATTTTCTCATGATGAAATAAAGTTCGCACACATACTTTCTCCTTAACTTTGGTTTGTTCTATTTGTTTCTCCCTCTTTCTAAGGAGACTTAGAAAGCAAGCTAATAATATTTATTTTGACAAAGATTTGATCCCTCTGTTATAGAAAAAGCCTATAGTAGTAAATATTTATAACTCTATTTGTTTTTTTTTTTCAAATTGATGAGAAAAGTCCTATCATAGATTTCTGATAAGTTCATTGCAGTGATATTTTATTTGTGTTATTTCTTACAGTTCTTGGGAAGCTCACTTTAAAGATGTTGTTTCTTACAGTTCTTGGAAAGCTCACTTTTAAAATGTTGTTTCTTCGTCAGTATTGGGGGAATTTCATTTTGACTTTGTACTATAAGTCTTTCACATTCTTCATAGCAATAAGGAGCTCCTTTCTAGGTCATGAAGTCTGTATCATAGGCTTTATAGCAAGTCTAACTTAATTCGTGCATTTAGTCTGAAGTTTAAATCACTTATCACTAATACTCTGAACCATCAGAAAGTATTCTGCTAGCCAAAGATAACATTACACAGAAGAGACTGAATGGACATATTATGGATTAGAATCCTTTTCCCGCAAAAGCACATTGATCTGTCTTGTCTATTTATTGAGCAGTGCTTGCTGTTGCTCCCTGTGCTAATGTATAGGCAAGAGTGTTGAACAGATACTCCTCTGGTCTGTGGAGCTTACAGGTGAGAAAGGCAGCCAGACCAAAACAAGTAAGCACATAATTATCTAGGTACCTACAAACACTGGTGGGCATGTGAACAAAAGATGAGAGGAAGGCGTGGTTTATAGGAAACTGATTAATCAGGAAAACAAGCAAAACTTATTTATTTCAATGGAAATAAATAAGAGAAAAAGAAAGGAAACTACATTATTACATGAGTTCGAGTTTGGTTAGTTCTCTGAAAACACATTCCTGGGAGGGTGTCTACAATATCCATAGAGATAAAGCTGGTCCTAGATCACAACCAAGTTCTCCTAAATTGAGGAGAAATATAACTGTTAAGTCATTAAGAATTTTCGTAAATTTTAAAATAAGGCCCGCCAACTTGATTTACATAGTTTTAAAGTAAGTCATGGAGTAGTCATTTACAGCCATGTCCCAGGCTTGGAACGCATCTGTAAGAGTGTCTGCTGTGAACATTATGTAACGAGGACGTCTTAACACAGTGTGCTGAGGCTCATTCTGCATGACAGACTTTACTCCCACCAAAAATAATGACACAAGGCTGAGAACAGGGTAGGGTATTTCCTGTTTATTTTTCCCTAGTACATTTCTGCCTATCTAAACAGAAGGTACTTTTTTTTTTAATCTAGAGAGACGTGAACTAGAGCAAAGGTAATATATCGAAGGTTCAATTTACTGGATAAGAGAAAAGGTTCCTGAGATGCCACTCTTCTCAGCCCTCAAAGCCAAAGGGTTGCTTCCCCCACTTGCTCCCAGCAGAGGTGATCTCCCACCAGTCCTCAGGGAAAGCAGAAGATGGAGGATTTCAACCACTACACAAGACATGCTCTTCTCTATGTAAAAAGATTCTTTTCTTTGGACGGATTCTTTGAAGTAGATACTAGACGAGAGGGTCTGAATATTTCAAAAGTCCTGGACTCCAAAATGTTTTCCAGATAGATTGTCCACCACCAATTTGTGAACCATTGTGGTATATCACCTTAATTCTATCAAGGGCTTAATATTTTTGTGTGTGTATGCTGGTTCTGGGGCTTAAACTCAGAGCCTGGATGCTGTCCCTGAGCTTTTTTGCTCAAGGCTGATATTCTACCACTTAAGCCACAGCTCTACTTCTGGCTTTTTGGTAGTTAATTGGAGATAAAAGGCCCACAGACTTTCTTGCCCTGGCTGGCTTTGAACCATCATCTTTAGATTTCAGTCTCTTGAATAGTTAGGATTATAGACATGAGCCAACAGTGCCCAGCTAAATGTTTAATTTTGGTCAATGGGCAGACTCTTGTAAAAATAAAATTGCTTCTAGAAGAATTTTACTTTATATTTCCATAGAATATTCTAATAGCTACATGAAATAATTTGCAACAAATGACCCAAGAAATTGACATCTAATAGGGAAGGAAGACTTCCCAGAGGAAGTAGGGAAGAGAGACATCCAAACAGACAAGGCAAAAACTTCAAAAATCTGCCTTGAGCTTATACTATAAGAAAAGAATCTAAATTTTTTTTATTGATTGCTTCAATTAGGTTAGGCAACTAAGCTGGGCCCAGGTCACAGGAATAAGCACAACATTTGATTTAGAATCTGGGGCCTTACTGCTCCTCCTGCCCAAACTTAATGACACCTTGATCATATCACCGGAAAACTATAGTACCATTTACCTCTCTAGAAATCAGAAAACTACCTGACAATCTAGATTGCCATCTTGCAGCAGCGAAGTAAGAACAATTAATTTCCTGTTGGGAAGGTAGGAATACAAAGTCCATGCTCATTCTTATTTTATGAACTGCAGGTCCACTGAGCTCATTGACCCACTTGCTAAAATCAAAAGACATAGAGATGAAGAGGATTGTAGTTTAAGACTAACCCAGCAAAAAGTTAGCAAGAACCATTTCAATCAATAAACTGGGTGAGGTGATGGTGTGCTCATAGTACCAACTACACAGGAAGTAGGATCGCAGGCCATCCTGGCCTGGATAAATATAAGTCTCTAAGAATTAACTTAAAACAAACAGGGCTCAATGGCTCCAATGACAGAATGCACAACTCAGCACAAGGACCTGAGTTCAAAGCTCTAGTATTATCACCAAAACAAAAAACAAAAAAAACAAAAAAGATACTACTAGTAAATTGAGCAAGAAAGATAACTTCTAAACACTAAGATAGGACACATAAAAAAGAAGGAAGCATACTATAGAAAATATGTTGAGAGAGGGGCTGGGAAGGTGACTCAGTGGTAGAGCCCTAGCCTTGTATGCATGAGGCCCTGGGTTCAATTCCTCAGCACCACATAAGCAAAAA